GTGGCTCAAGTGGTAGAGCGCTAACCTTGAGCTGAAGAGCTGAGGGACAGCGCCCAGGCCCAGAGTTCAGGCCCCACAACCGGACCCCCCCCCCACACAAAGAAGAAACAATTAGATTCTTCCCTGATTCTTCCTTCTTATTAAGGTTGACCTTTCTAACTAAAATACATCATTGCAAAACACAGTATTAATAATTCCTTTTGATAAATAATGACCTCCTATTTGTGTGAACAGGCGTTCTTAAAATTTAAATAGTTGGAAACTTATATATACCTCAACAAGCTGTGCTTTATTAAGTCCTGGCCTGGTTGGTAGTTTGAAGTGTCTTTTATATCTCCTAAGTGTATTTACTTGTAATTGGTACAAATCGACCTAGAAAAAAAATTAATACACATAAATTAGCTCATACAAATTTGTGACTGGTAATGTATAGCAACAAGAATTTCAACCTCAGTGCAAAAATAAGAATCCCATTGTTAAAGAGTTTTTGGGTTTTTTTGTTGGTTGTGGGGCTTGAACTCTGGGCTTGGGCACTGTCCTTTAGCTCTTCAGCTCAAGCAAGTGCTCTACAGCTTTAGCCACGGCACCACTTCCGGTTTATTGGAGATAAGAGTCTCACAGATTTAACTGCCTGGGCTGGCTGTGAACTGTGATCCTCAAGATCTCAGCCTACTAAGTATCTAGGATTACAAGTGTGAGCCACCAGTGCTCGGCTGTTAAGTGCTTTTTATACAATCAATCTTTAGGTTATTTACGTTATTTAACAGTTTAATCTTTTGAGGACAAATGCAAACATCTGAGAACCAAGAAGAGGAAGTTATATGATAACAAAGCTCTACGAATTGTCAATGCAAATTGTGTTAAGATACATCAATGGAATATACTTAATGCTGCAATCATTTTCAGCTTTCTCAAATGTTTTTGGAGGCTATCTTGTTTAATACCAGCTGTTTGCATGGAATAGGTAGGGGGATTGAGGTCAGTGGCCAGCCAGACCATTCTGAAAAAGAACTAAAGCAAAAATGGCTGAAGGCCTGTCAAGCAGGAGAGCACTTGCCTACTCAGTGCAAAGCCCTGGATCAGAAAATTCAGAGCCCCCTATACTTCTGGAGAAAAAATAACCAAAACAAAACAAAAAAAAAAAACGTCCACGCTTTTTTCTTCTTGTTGTTTGCTACTAGGGTTTGAACTCAGGGTCTTGTACATGTTAGGCGGGTGTTCTAGCACTTGAATCAGGCTCCCATACATCTTTGCTTTTAGTTATTTTTTAATAGGATCTCAAATTTATGCCAAGACTAGGCTGGACTGACATCCTTCTATTTACTCTTTTGGCACAGCAGTAGGGATGACAGTCATGCACCACCAAGATGAGGATCTTGACAACTTTTTGTCAGGCTAGCTTTGAACTATGATTCTATGGATCGCTACTTCCTGAATTACCCAGATAAGAGGAATGAGCCACCACTCTTGTATTTTCATTTTACCTGAGTGAGCCGCTTGTTCAAATCTTTGTATACAAGTTTCAGAATGGAATACTTCCATTTACATTTAACAAACAAAGACTTCCATCTACCTCTGGTGTATCAATATCTTGCACAGGCGAGTCACCTCCATCATCATCACTCCCTTTTCTCTTTCTTCTGTTTCGAACACTCTGAATCAAGTTTTTATGATAATCACAAATGTAAAGATGCCTTGCCTGAAACAGAAAAATTTCACAGACTGCTTAAAATTAAGAAATACATCTACCAATAGTAAAATGCAGAGGCTATGTGGACTTACTTCAAATACAGGCAAGTAGGAACTTAAGACAATGACATGGCCTTTCTATTAAAACATGTCTGGCAATGGTATTAAGATGCGGAGTGGAAGGTATTAGAGAGAGGGTGATACCAGGTGGGGAGTGAAAGGAGGAAGAGAAGAATGAGAAATTCCAGAAATTCCAGTCCTCTGGGGTTTTTCACCAAACTTTAGTTGAAGGTGAGCTGAAGTTAGTTCATGTTGGATTTTGACCAGTCAAGGACAAAGATAACGTTGCTATTTAGCTTTTCTTCTACTTAAAGACCAGTAGACTTTTTACAACTGAATACTCAAATCATATCTCAAATATAAACTAAACTTTTTTGGGGGGTGGATTGGAGGGGTCTGGCCGTGGGGCTTGAACTCTGGCCTGGGTACTATCCCTGAGCTGTTTGCTTGACCACTTTGAGTCACAGAGCCACTTCCGGTTTTCTGGTGCTTAATTGGAGATAAAAGTCTCCAGGACTTTCCTGCTCTGGTTTGAACTGCGATCCTCAGATCTCAGCCTCCTGAGTAGCTAGGATTACAGGCGTGAGCCACGGGCGCCCGATTTACACGAACAACTTTTACAACTGAGCTGCTGGATTTATACCCTATAGTTTTACAGTTCCATCACTAATTCTCTCTGAGAATGAACTTATCTGTTAGGTGTTGTTTCCAATGAAAACAGCTGAAACGACGTTCACCTGAACAGCTTTCTCACAAACCCTCCTGAAGAAATGTTGACATTGGGAGAAAGTATCACAGGCAAACTTTTCAGAAACTTTACACATGGTGTGGGGAGCTGCCTAGTGACAGGAAATACTGGGCGCCTTAAAGAGCCACACACAGACAGACACACACACACACACACACACACACACACAGACAGACAGACACACACACACACGAGTGGAGCGAACAAGATTTTAAATTTACGTGCTAAGGGCCAAGTGAAAAGCTAGGTTGTGTCACCCGTTATTTATTCCTCTTCCAAAGCGAACCTCATCGAAGGTGGGAGGCTCAGGCGTGCGTGCAAATGGATGGAAGAAGAAACTCGCGAGGGCTGCCCAGTCGTCTGCAAATCCCCGCAGAGGCTCAGGGGCCCCGCCCGCTCCCCGCAGCTGCCCCAAGTGCTGACCCCGCAACGCCGTTGGCACCCCGGAGCCCCCCTCTCCTACCCCCCACCGCACCCCGCCCGCCCGGGCCAAGGCGGCCGGGAAGCCCGGCTCCGCTCTCGGACGAGGTGGGGAGAAAAGCCCAGAAACCTTCCGGCCTGCGGTGCTAGGGGCCGGCGTGGACTCCACCGGGGATCCCGGGGGCCCAGCGCGAGCTCGGGCGGCCACACAAAGGGGCCTCCGTTCCAGGAGGGGCCGCGGGGCTGCAGGACGACGACTCGGTGCGGCGGTCGCCCTTTGTCTGGTCCCTCGATCGGCGCCCGGGAGGGAGAGGGGCGGGAGGCGGGGGGGGGGGCGTCCCGGGCACCGCGGCGGCGGAGGCCGGAGCCGCAGCGACGCCGTGGCTCGCGCCCCCTCGGAGCCCACGCGCGGGGCAAGACTCGAACCCCCGACCGCCCGGCGTCACTTACGCTCTTGTCCAGCTCGATCTTCACCTTCTTCTGGGAGATGCTCTTCTGGATCCGCTTGCTGAAGCTGGCGTTGCCCGCCGCCCGCCCGCACCGGTCGCC